GGGTCGTTTGGGTTTGCGTCGTTTGGGTTTGGGTCGTTTTTGTTTGGGTCGTTTGGGTTTGGGTAAAAATTGACTCACTTACCCAAATACCCAAACCCAAACGACCCAAGTCAAATGGGTTTCAAGTAGGTCAGTTGGATTTAAGGTTTGACAAACAAGTCAGGTTACTTGTGCAGGGCTCTAATACGAATACACATGCACGAATCTCGTAGAGAGCAGACCTAACAAATCAGTTCGTTACGTCTGGCGCCCAAAACGTGATTGTCCCAGCAGTGAAAGCGACTTTATGCAGTCAGGGAAAGAAGTGGATTTACCGCTTTAAGACAGACGCAGAAAGACTAAACATCGCTCTAGAATGCCAAACAGATGACAAGAGACAGTTGTAGGGCAAGGGCAATACCATTCTGAAACGGAGAACGACCAGAAACTTGCCGGTATCTGGATCGAGCTGGAGCATACCCCGAGAAAACAAGCCAAAGCATCACATTGACACCCGCCGAAGGGGCAGAACTAGTGGCCTGTCTGAGCGTCGACAAGAAACAAAAGAAGAGTCAAAAGAGGGAGCCAAGCTAGGAGAAGAAAACGACAGCTCCGATCCCTACTCCCAGCCAGCCATACTATGCCGAGGTCGCGAAACAAGTTCGCGAATGGTCCATCAGATTCGACGGTGCTGAGAAACCGTTCGAGTGAAATGGTCCGCCAACTCATACGGCTTGGACTTGTATATGATTCCCCGAGCTATGCCAGAATTACTCAAAGGAAGGGCATTGAAGCGGTTCATCTCCAATAACAAGCAATGGAGAGCTTGGGTGGAATTTATCGAGAGCTTTCACACCTACTTCCTGCCAAGAGATTTCTTTACGAATCTGACGGATCAGGTCAAGCAACGAAAGCAGGGCAACAGCGAGTCGTTCAAGGACTATATGATCGACATGCAGACGCTAACGAGACCGCTTGGGAATTCTACAAAGGAAACACTCAGCATCAACCAGGCAAACTGTACACCGAACCTTAGAATCTCCCTCAGAGCCTACAAAGTATCGGACTTGACACGCGGATGATCCTAGCCGGTGAATACGAGGAACTGGAGAAGGAGCGGGAAGCATTTGCTTAGGAGAACAAATTCTCCAGGGCAAAACTAACAGCCCCTGCGCAATTATGTGCAGAATATGCGAGGATACCGGTGATCAGGAACTTAGAGGGAATAATCACTACACACTGGAAGCAGGCAACACCATCGGAGGCAGGCAACTAACGCAATATACAAAGGCCATATGGCACAACCAGCAGAGGCCAACGCACCACTTATGGAGGCCGTCAAACACAACACAAAGGCCACAGGAGAGTACCCACATCGCAGACCCCCAGGAGCCCTGTCAAAAATATGGAGGTGTCTGGGCACTGGGAACGCGGCTGTCGAAACCAGTGTTTGTTTTTCTGCTGGGTGTGCGGCAGAGTGGATGTCAGGAGCGTTGAGTGCTGCCAACAAGCGGGAAATGGCCAGCGATCTCAGCTGCAGATAGGCGGGCGGGGATCGCAGAATACTCTCAAACTAACTGGCTAATCGAGAAGGAGCAGCAGTTGTCCGCAGCGGTGACGATTGGTGAAGGCCCGTACTGTCTGTCTGTCTGTCTGTCTGTCTGTCTGTCTGTCTATTCTGTCTATTCTGTCTATTCTGTCTATTCTGTCTATTCTGTCTATTCTGTCTATTCTGTCTATTCTGTCTATTCTGTCTATTCTGTCTATTCTGTCTATTCTGTCTATTCTGTCTATTCTGTCTATTCTGTCTATTCTGTCTATTCTGTCTATTCTGTCTATTCTGTCTATTCTGTCTATTCTGTCTATTCTGTCTATTCTGTCTATTCTGTCTATTCTGTCTATTCTGTCTATTCTGTCTATTCTGTCTATTCTGTCTATTCTGTCTATTCTGTCTATTCTGTCTATTCTGTCTATTCTGTCTATTCTGTCTATTCTGTCTATTCTGTCTATTCTGTCTATTCTGTCTATTCTGTCTATTCTGTCTATTCTGTCTATTCTGTCTATTCTGTCTATTCTGTCTATTCTGTCTATTCTGTCTATTCTGTCTATTCTGTCTATTCTGTCTATTCTGTCTATTCTGTCTATTCTGTCTATTCTGTCTATTCTGTCTATTCTGTCTATTCTGTCTATTCTGTCTATTCTGTCTATTCTGTCTATTCTGTCTATTCTGTCTATTCTGTCTATTCTGTCTATTCTGTCTATTCTGTCTATTCTGTCTATTCTGTCTATTCTGTCTATTCTGTCTATTCTGTCTATTCTGTCTATTCTGTCTATTCTGTCTATTCTGTCTATTCTGTCTATTCTGTCTATTCTGTCTATTCTGTCTATTCTGTCTATTCTGTCTATTCTGTCTATTCTGTCTATTCTGTCTATTCTGTCTATTCTGTCTATTCTGTCTATTCTGTCTATTCTGTCTATTCTGTCTATTCTGTCTATTCTGTCTATTCTGTCTATTCTGTCTATTCTGTCTATTCTGTCTATTCTGTCTATTCTGTCTATTCTGTCTATTCTGTCTATTCTGTCTATTCTGTCTATTCTGTCTATTCTGTCTATTCTGTCTATTCTGTCTATTCTGTCTATTCTGTCTATTCTGTCTATTCTGTCTATTCTGTCTATTCTGTCTATTCTGTCTATTCTGTCTATTCTGTCTATTCTGTCTATTCTGTCTATTCTGTCTATTCTGTCTATTCTGTCTATTCTGTCTATTCTGTCTATTCTGTCTATTCTGTCTATTCTGTCTATTCTGTCTATTCTGTCTATTCTGTCTATTCTGTCTATTCTGTCTATTCTGTCTATTCTGTCTATTCTGTCTATTCTGTCTATTCTGTCTATTCTGTCTATTCTGTCTATTCTGTCTATTCTGTCTATTCTGTCTATTCTGTCTATTCTGTCTATTCTGTCTATTCTGTCTATTCTGTCTATTCTGTCTATTCTGTCTATTCTGTCTATTCTGTCTATTCTGTCTATTCTGTCTATTCTGTCTATTCTGTCTATTCTGTCTATTCTGTCTATTCTGTCTATTCTGTCTATTCTGTCTATTCTGTCTATTCTGTCTATTCTGTCTATTCTGTCTATTCTGTCTATTCTGTCTATTCTGTCTATTCTGTCTATTCTGTCTATTCTGTCTATTCTGTCTATTCTGTCTATTCTGTCTATTCTGTCTATTCTGTCTATTCTGTCTATTCTGTCTATTCTGTCTATTCTGTCTATTCTGTCTATTCTGTCTATTCTGTCTATTCTGTCTATTCTGTCTATTCTGTCTATTCTGTCTATTCTGTCTATTCTGTCTATTCTGTCTATTCTGTCTATTCTGTCTATTCTGTCTATTCTGTCTATTCTGTCTATTCTGTCTATTCTGTCTATTCTGTCTATTCTGTCTATTCAGCTTTAGTATACAGTTTTCTGATTGGCAAGAACTATTACCCTGACCAAAGTATACATAAATAAATTAGATTTGCATAGTTTCATGTCAGTAGCTTTAGTACTGCAAAAATGTCATGTAAAAATAGAAAAAAAGGGATATTTTCACAGCATTTAACTATTGTTAATATGGAAAGTATGAGATATAGACGTTCGATCGGCACGCGCTTTTACCCTGATCAAGGTATGCGTAAAATAAAAAGAATTAGAAAGATTCTTGTCAATAGCTCTTACACTGAGCGAAATATCTTCATTTTGTGAAAGCTATATCCGATTGTTCCTATGGGAGCTATAAGATATAGACGTCCGATCGGCACGCGCTTTTACCCTGATCAAGGTATGCGTAAACTAATAAGATTTAGAAAGATTCTTGTCAATAGCTCTTACACTGAGCGAAATATCTTCATTTTGTGAAAGCTATATCCGATTGTTCCAATGGGAGCTTATATACACATGTTTTAGTGCGACTGTAAAAGTTTCAAGGCGCTAGCTTTAAAACTGAGCTCGCAAACGGTATTGAAACAGGCGGACAGACGGACATGGCTATATCGACTCCCCTATTGATCCTGATTAAGAATATATATACTTTATGGGGTCGGAAACGTCTCCTTCACTGCGTTACAAACTTCTGACCAAAATTATAATACCCCCTGCAAGGGTATAATAATTATCTTGACCTTAATAATGCGCAACGGGTCGATGAGCTGTGAAAATTGTGATCATCGTCTTATTTAAAAATCTTTTTTTTTTTCTTTGGGTAACCCTAAACCTGAACTGTTCTACTTGAAACCCATTTGACTTGGGTCGTTTGGGTTTGCGTCGTTTGGGTTTGGGTCGTTTTTGTTTGGGTCGTTTGGGTTTGGGTAAAAATTGACTCACTTACCCAAATACCCAAACCCAAACGACCCAAGTCAAATGGGTTTCAAGTAGGTCAGTTGGATTTAAGGTTTGACAAACAAGTCAGGTTACTTGTGCAGGGCTCTAATACGAATACACATGCACGAATCTCGTAGAGAGCAGACCTAACAAATCAGTTCGTTACGTCTGGCGCCCAAAACGTGATTGTCCCAGCAGTGAAAGCGACTTTATGCAGTCAGGGAAAGAAGTGGATTTACCGCTTTAAGACAGACGCAGAAAGACTAAACATCGCTCTAGAATGCCAAACAGATGACAAGAGACAGTTGTAGGGCAAGGGCAATACCATTCTGAAACGGAGAACGACCAGAAACTTGCCGGTATCTGGATCGAGCTGGAGCATACCCCGAGAAAACAAGCCAAAGCATCACATTGACACCCGCCGAAGGGGCAGAACTAGTGGCCTGTCTGAGCGTCGACAAGAAACAAAAGAAGAGTCAAAAGAGGGAGCCAAGCTAGGAGAAGAAAACGACAGCTCCGATCCCTACTCCCAGCCAGCCATACTATGCCGAGGTCGCGAAACAAGTTCGCGAATGGTCCATCAGATTCGACGGTGCTGAGAAACCGTTCGAGTGAAATGGTCCGCCAACTCATACGGCTTGGACTTGTATATGATTCCCCGAGCTATGCCAGAATTACTCAAAGGAAGGGCATTGAAGCGGTTCATCTCCAATAACAAGCAATGGAGAGCTTGGGTGGAATTTATCGAGAGCTTTCACACCTACTTCCTGCCAAGAGATTTCTTTACGAATCTGACGGATCAGGTCAAGCAACGAAAGCAGGGCAACAGCGAGTCGTTCAAGGACTATATGATCGACATGCAGACGCTAACGAGACCGCTTGGGAATTCTACAAAGGAAACACTCAGCATCAACCAGGCAAACTGTACACCGAACCTTAGAATCTCCCTCAGAGCCTACAAAGTATCGGACTTGACACGCGGATGATCCTAGCCGGTGAATACGAGGAACTGGAGAAGGAGCGGGAAGCATTTGCTTAGGAGAACAAATTCTCCAGGGCAAAACTAACAGCCCCTGCGCAATTATGTGCAGAATATGCGAGGATACCGGTGATCAGGAACTTAGAGGGAATAATCACTACACACTGGAAGCAGGCAACACCATCGGAGGCAGGCAACTAACGCAATATACAAAGGCCATATGGCACAACCAGCAGAGGCCAACGCACCACTTATGGAGGCCGTCAAACACAACACAAAGGCCACAGGAGAGTACCCACATCGCAGACCCCCAGGAGCCCTGTCAAAAATATGGAGGTGTCTGGGCACTGGGAACGCGGCTGTCGAAACCAGTGTTTGTTTTTCTGCTGGGTGTGCGGCAGAGTGGATGTCAGGAGCGTTGAGTGCTGCCAACAAGCGGGAAATGGCCAGCGATCTCAGCTGCAGATAGGCGGGCGGGGATCGCAGAATACTCTCCAAACTAACTGGCTAATCGAGAAGGAGCAGCAGTTGTCCGCAGCGGTGACGATTGGTGAAGGCCCGTACTGTCTGTCTGTCTGTCTGTCTGTCTGTCTGTCTGTCTATTCTGTCTATTCTGTCTATTCTGTCTATTCTGTCTATTCTGTCTATTCTGTCTATTCTGTCTATTCTGTCTATTCTGTCTATTCTGTCTATTCTGTCTATTCTGTCTATTCTGTCTATTCTGTCTATTCTGTCTATTCTGTCTATTCTGTCTATTCTGTCTATTCTGTCTATTCTGTCTATTCTGTCTATTCTGTCTATTCTGTCTATTCTGTCTATTCTGTCTATTCTGTCTATTCTGTCTATTCTGTCTATTCTGTCTATTCTGTCTATTCTGTCTATTCTGTCTATTCTGTCTATTCTGTCTATTCTGTCTATTCTGTCTATTCTGTCTATTCTGTCTATTCTGTCTATTCTGTCTATTCTGTCTATTCTGTCTATTCTGTCTATTCTGTCTATTCTGTCTATTCTGTCTATTCTGTCTATTCTGTCTATTCTGTCTATTCTGTCTATTCTGTCTATTCTGTCTATTCTGTCTATTCTGTCTATTCTGTCTATTCTGTCTATTCTGTCTATTCTGTCTATTCTGTCTATTCTGTCTATTCTGTCTATTCTGTCTATTCTGTCTATTCTGTCTATTCTGTCTATTCTGTCTATTCTGTCTATTCTGTCTATTCTGTCTATTCTGTCTATTCTGTCTATTCTGTCTATTCTGTCTATTCTGTCTATTCTGTCTATTCTGTCTATTCTGTCTATTCTGTCTATTCTGTCTATTCTGTCTATTCTGTCTATTCTGTCTATTCTGTCTATTCTGTCTATTCTGTCTATTCTGTCTATTCTGTCTATTCTGTCTATTCTGTCTATTCTGTCTATTCTGTCTATTCTGTCTATTCTGTCTATTCTGTCTATTCTGTCTATTCTGTCTATTCTGTCTATTCTGTCTATTCTGTCTATTCTGTCTATTCTGTCTATTCTGTCTATTCTGTCTATTCTGTCTATTCTGTCTATTCTGTCTATTCTGTCTATTCTGTCTATTCTGTCTATTCTGTCTATTCTGTCTATTCTGTCTATTCTGTCTATTCTGTCTATTCTGTCTATTCTGTCTATTCTGTCTATTCTGTCTATTCTGTCTATTCTGTCTATTCTGTCTATTCTGTCTATTCTGTCTATTCTGTCTATTCTGTCTATTCTGTCTATTCTGTCTATTCTGTCTATTCTGTCTATTCTGTCTATTCTGTCTATTCTGTCTATTCTGTCTATTCTGTCTATTCTGTCTATTCTGTCTATTCTGTCTATTCTGTCTATTCTGTCTATTCTGTCTATTCTGTCTATTCTGTCTATTCTGTCTATTCTGTCTATTCTGTCTATTCTGTCTATTCTGTCTATTCTGTCTATTCTGTCTATTCTGTCTATTCTGTCTATTCTGTCTATTCTGTCTATTCTGTCTATTCTGTCTATTCTGTCTATTCTGTCTATTCTGTCTATTCTGTCTATTCTGTCTATTCTGTCTATTCTGTCTATTCTGTCTATTCTGTCTATTCTGTCTATTCTGTCTATTCTGTCTATTCTGTCTATTCTGTCTATTCTGTCTATTCTGTCTATTCTGTCTATTCTGTCTATTCTGTCTATTCTGTCTATTCTGTCTATTCTGTCTATTCTGTCTATTCTGTCTATTCTGTCTATTCTGTCTATTCTGTCTATTCTGTCTATTCTGTCTATTCTGTCTATTCTGTCTATTCTGTCTATTCTGTCTATTCTGTCTATTCTGTCTATTCTGTCTATTCTGTCTATTCTGTCTATTCTGTCTATTCTGTCTATTCTGTCTATTCTGTCTATTCTGTCTATTCTGTCTATTCTGTCTATTCTGTCTATTCTGTCTATTCTGTCTATTCTGTCTATTCTGTCTATTCTGTCTATTCTGTCTATTCTGTCTATTCTGTCTATTCTGTCTATTCTGTCTATTCTGTCTATTCTGTCTATTCTGTCTATTCTGTCTATTCTGTCTATTCTGTCTATTCTGTCTATTCTGTCTATTCTGTCTATTCTGTCTATTCTGTCTATTCTGTCTATTCTGTCTATTCTGTCTATTCTGTCTATTCTGTCTATTCTGTCTATTCTGTCTATTCTGTCTATTCTGTCTATTCTGTCTATTCTGTCTATTCTGTCTATTCTGTCTATTCTGTCTATTCTGTCTATTCTGTCTATTCTGTCTATTCTGTCTATTCTGTCTATTCTGTCTATTCTGTCTATTCTGTCTATTCTGTCTATTCTGTCTATTCTGTCTATTCTGTCTATTCTGTCTATTCTGTCTATTCTGTCTATTCTGTCTATTCTGTCTATTCTGTCTATTCTGTCTATTCTGTCTATTCTGTCTATTCTGTCTATTCTGTCTATTCTGTCTATTCTGTCTATTCTGTCTATTCTGTCTATTCTGTCTATTCTGTCTATTCTGTCTATTCTGTCTATTCTGTCTATTCTGTCTATTCTGTCTATTCTGTCTATTCTGTCTATTCTGTCTATTCTGTCTATTCTGTCTATTCTGTCTATTCTGTCTATTCTGTCTATTCTGTCTATTCTGTCTATTCTGTCTATTCTGTCTATTCTGTCTATTCTGTCTATTCTGTCTATTCTGTCTATTCTGTCTATTCTGTCTATTCTGTCTATTCTGTCTATTCTGTCTATTCTGTCTATTCTGTCTATTCTGTCTATTCTGTCTATTCTGTCTATTCTGTCTATTCTTGATCAGCATCACTAGACGAGTCGATCAAGCCATGTCCGTCTGTCTGTTTCTACGCGAACTAGTCCCTCAGTTGGCTGCTGGCCGCTGCTGGCCGACTTTCCGGTACCTTGTCACGCACACAATCCGACTCTTACGGCTGTTGAAAATCTGTACCATTTAAATGTCAAAAACAAGTGGCGAAGCTCATGATATAATTTCCAAGTCCCCACTCACCAATAATGGCTTCCGCTCAGCTTGGACAAATCTAACTGAGCGTTTCGAAAACAAGCGATTTCAGGTGAACAGCCACCTAAAAACATTGTTCAATGTGCAATCCATAGCACAAGAGTCTGGAGATGCCTTGAAGGAACTTCAAAACACCATTCTGGGTTGTTTAAGTGCCTTACAACTCTCCAGAATTAAAATAAAGTATTGGGACCCTATATTAGTCTACGTTTGCTCTACAAAGCTTCCGAAGCTTACGCTCTGTTTATGGGAGCAATCCTTGCGTAATAAGGTTGAAATTCCTATTTGGATAGAGCTAAATTCTTTATTAGCTGAGCGCCATCGAACACTAGAGGCCGTCGACAGTATCCGGTCTGATAATTCACTCAACGCCCAGCCCAATAAGACACATCGAAAGGGAGAATTGCCAAGAATAAATTCATTCACTTCGAGGGTAGTTCCGATACCCAAAGTTTGCGATCTGTGTTTACAGAAGAACCATCCCGTGCGTATATGTCCACGCTTCTTAAAAATGACGGTAAATGATCGTTCAGCCTACGTCCGCGATAAACAGTTGTGCTCGAATTGCTTTGCAAGCAGCTATAAATTGCAGGATTGCATAAGCGCCCAAAACTGCTTCACTTGCCAAAGTGGCCATCATACGCTGTTGCATCCAAGCAACAATTCTACAATTCCTTTCAGGCTAGTGTCCGCCTCAATCCCACACAGAATTTCGTCCTTCTCAGTGCAAATTTTCAACACTCATGAAACTCGGAAATTGTCCACACTAAACCATATACAAGAAGTACCTCCCACCAATATTACATCCGACTTTGGGTTCCATATACCGCCCTGAATGGCAGGCGTTCCCGAGGAATTAAGTCCTACCAATGCCGAGTCAAAAAATCCATCCTCTACGGAAGTGCCACCGCTTTCTGACGCTAACTGCTGAACGACTGATCCAATTCGGACCATTCATTGAAAAGTTATGCCTTGTCAAAATGTTATATATTCATCTCCCTCGCACTCCCTTTAGCTGAGTGACGGGTATTAGATAGTCGGAACACCAAGCCGACTTTAGCGTTCTCTCTTGCTTTCTTTTACTATTTTGAAGTGATAGTATAATTGACATTTGTCGGGTGGTCGCGTATAGATGAGTCGGGACTGCTTGCTTCGTTGATCCGGGGCTACGGAAGTCCGATTGATGAACTGCTTGCTGTCTTTGATCGGGAGCTACGTAAGGGCCGAGTGTTGGTGCTTGCTGTCGTTGATCCGGCCATGCGGGAGGTTCGAGTGATGAAGTGCTTGCTTCGTGACCGGTACTATGCTGTCTCCGATTTAGAACTGAGCTCTTACGGATCCACCACCACTACCCAGATATTCCTCCTTGTTGATGTTTCCTCAATGATCGTCGGAACGCCAGTCCCTGATCTGACGCTTTGCCTCTGCTTATATAGCCGCCGTTTAGTGTGCCCAGAGCGAACGATTACGTTCCCATTTTCGATAATTACTTATTGGGTCACGATTCTAGAGATGTGTATTTAGTTGTTGTGACAATATAAAGAGAGCACAGACCATTGGGGTACACCACTATTCACGTATTGGGAGGATTTTTGGCAGCAGTATTTTTATAAACTTGGCGTTTATGTTGTCGAGCCCAGCTTCACTCTGAATTCTAAGTACACTTTAAGGTACATAATACTGGTTAACACACATAAACCTAAATTTAATATCCAGGTACAAATTGTGGGTTTAGGTACTTATTTTCAGTGATTTCAGTTACTGTGCAGTTTAAGAACTTTTTATTAAGATCATTAACATCTGTCTTGCTTACCGCCTTATTTGGATTTGCATATTCCAAGATTTTTGATTATATTTCATGTCTGAGTAGTGGCAGCATTATTCAATTTACGGGAATAGAAATTTTTCTTGGCGGTGTGAGAAAGTTTGGTCACACGCGTAGGATCCTGTATCTTTTCCTCTTATTGTACTCCCGTCACGCTGTAATATATCAGCTTTTATAGTTTCCGAGATCACAGCGTTCAAACGGACAGACAAACAGACAGACAGACAGATAGACAGATAGACAGATGGACAGACAGACGGACAGACGGACATGGCTAGATCGACTCGGCTAGTGATCCTGATCAAGAATATATATACTTTATGGGGTCGGAAACGCTTCCTTCTAGCTGTTACATACTTTTGCACGAATACAATATACCCTTTTACTCTACGAGTAACGGGTATAAATAGTCTATAAACAATAATATATGTATTTAATTTTCTATTTTCAAGAAAATATTTCTTAATTTTAATTTATTTTTTTTGTTTTGATATTTTATATAGGGAAACCGTATAAAACTATACATTTTCTTTTTTTTGCCATACAGTAATCATTTGGTAATTACGTAATGTATGGACAGCCCAAGGTTTGATGATTTGGCTTCAATGAATTTTTAGGAAAAGTGTCCCTAAAAGGAATATAATATGAAATTAAAAACGCTCTAAATTGCACAATTTTACAAAAAACACATTCAAACACAAACAAAAAACAATATCACTAAAAATTTATTTAATTTAACATAATTTAATTAATAAATCGAACTATGTTGAAGTATTTTTTGACATTTCTTTAAGGGGTTATATACAGTTGTACCGCTCAAAAAAATGAAATTTTTTCGAATTACTTTTTCAAGGTATAACATTTTACATTTTATGCTCTAAAACAAGAAGTTTTCAAAAAAAAATGGAAAATGCTTCGTTCAATGACTATCTATTGTTATAATAAATAAGTGGTCAAAATTTGGTGTCGTTCGGATTAATAGTTTTTTAGTAATCGTGTCCATCGCAAAGGTAATTTCGAAAAAACAAGATTCTGAGATAATCGCGTTTAACGTTTCATGTTTGTAAAGGCCAAGTTGCAGGTAGTGCGCTATAAATAGCTACAACTTCGGTTCTAATGCTCCGATCGTTCTGAATTTTTGTAAGATTATTCTCAACAGTATATATTTCAAGAATATGCAATAAAAAAAACGATTTTTTCATCTATCACAACTTTATATAACCCCTGTTAAATTAACAATGATTATCTTAAATGCTTCCCCATATGAGATGTTAGCTCAGTAAGAGAGTTCGCCGTACACATAATATTTTAATAATTATTATCTAATTAAAAATTTTAAAAATGATTTAATGTGTCGCTTAGACACATGTTAATTAAAAAATAAATGTAAAAAAGAAAAAAAAACATGTCTTGTACTGGACTCTAACCCGGTTCAAAATAACCGGGAGCTGGCATAGTTTCCTCTGGGAACTATGGGAACTTTGTTTTATATCACGGCACGGCTTGTGAATCGTCACTGTGAAGGAAGTAAGAAAAACAATTTTAAAAATTCCAAAACAATTCACAAAATTTTGATGAGTGTTCTAAAAATTGAGGACATAAGGTGTCTTTGGATCAAAAATGCATTGTAGAAGAAAATATTTTTATTTATTTTTTAGCCCCTGTTCACAAATGAAGATTTTTAAACTTTGCTGTGACTTTGAAATTTTGAATGCGCCCACCTTTTCTTGTGGTTCAGTTAGATTTAATTTTCCAAAACGACCGTATAAGAGAGACATGTAACTATTTATTTCCGAAAATATTACCAAAATTGGTTGACCACTCTTGAAGATACATCCCAAAAGACGAAGAAAATTTGTGATTTTCTTAAATCACTATGGACGGCAGTCCATGTAGTGACGAAGCGCACCAGGAGAGTGTGCGAAGGCGACTACTATATATGGGCGGTTCTTTTACAAACCGAACACCTTTTATTGGCTCACATTTTTGATTTGCCTGAAACTTTTTTTACACGTACTATTCGGAAAATAAGTAAACACGTGTATCAGGATTTGACCGAAAAAAAATTATTTTCCTAGTTAGAATTTTTTTAAGTGTGCCAAAAATTGTCAAATTTGAAAAAGTACCCTCTCATTGAAAATCTGTATCTCCGGTTATATGAATCCAATTGACTTCATGTCTTTTGCATTAATTCCTCTGAAACCTCTCCTTTCAAAATAAAATTTCGTAAAAAAAAAATTTTTTAATTTCTTAAAAATAAAAACAAAATAAGATTTAAAAAAATTTTTTAACTATTACCCCCACAAAAAAAAAAAAATTTTTTTATTTTAATACTTGCGTCATATTGTTAGTTACAATCGGTTTTTGTAAAAAGTTGGAGCCACTTTTAGTTTTTAAAATATCGAATTTGTTTAAAAACTTACAACTATTTATTTAACCGTCTATTTAATAAACAATAATTTTAAATTTATTTTATTTATTATTTTTTTATATTATGTAATTTATTAAACATTTTTAAATATTTTTTTTAAGTTTTTAAAAAAAATTATTTAATAAAAATAAAAAATTATAAAATTTAATTAATTTTTTTTTTTTAATTTAAAAATAAATATTTAAAAATGTTTAATAAATTACATAATATAAAAAAATAATAAATAAAATAAATTTAAAATTATTGTTTATTAAATAGACGGTTAAGTTTATTAAATAGACGGTGTAAGTTTTTAATTGATTAAAAAATGACTTTTTACTTTTTGTCATTCAGAAATTGTCAAAAAACTTCAAACTTAACTTTTAATCATTAACAATTGTTAAAGGACTAGTAAACAATGAGAAAACATAAATTCCATTAGGATCCGATAAGAGTGAGAGAGTAGATCTACTTGCTGCGACGTTTTTTCATAGAAAAAAGCCGAGGCCTTGCTAAAACAAATTCGATATTTTAAAAACTAAAAGTGGCTCCAACTTTTTACAAAAAAAAAATGACTTTTTACTTTTTGTCATTCAGAAATTGTCAAAAAACTTAAAACTTAACTTTTAATCATTAACAATTGTTAAAGGACTAGTAAACAATGAGAAAACATAAATTCCATTAGGATCCGATAAGAGTGAGAGAGTAGATCTACTTGCTGCGACGTTTTTTCATAGAAAAAAGCCGAGGCCTTGCTAAAACAAATTCGATATTTTAAAAACTAAAAGTGGCTCCAACTTTTTACAAAAACCGATTGTAACTAACAATATGGCGCAAGTATTAAAATAAAAAAAATTTTTTTTTTTGTGGGGGCAATAGTTAAAAAATTTTTTTAAATCTTATTTTGTTTTTATTTTTAAGAAATTAAAAAATTTTTTTTTTTAATAAATTTTATTTTGAAAGGAGAGGCTTTAGAGGAATTAATGCAAAAGACATGAAGTCAATTGGATTCATATAACCGGAGATACAGATTTTCAATGAGAGGGTACTTTTTCAAATTTGACAATTTTTGGCACACTTAAAAAAATTCTAACTAGGAAAATAATTTTTTTTCGGTCGAATCCTGATACACGTGTTTACTTATTTTCCGAATAGTACGTGTAAAAAAAGTTTCAGGCAAATCAAAAATGTGAAATTTTTTTTTGGCCAAATCTGTTTGGTTTGTAAAAGAACGGCCCATATACACGAAGAAATGAAAATTTGCTGTGATAGTCCGATCGTAATGAGTAATACACCAATCGAAAGGTATTGCAAAAACTTAAAGGATTGCATACCAAGACCTCAAGAAAATCAATTGGTTTGGGAGAGAGGGAGGTGAAAGTGAAAAAGTAAAAATTTCGAATTTTGGAGCTGTTGGGGCCGGTGGAGATAAAAGCCCCCTCGCAATGTTTTAGTTGTATTCCTATTGAAAATACCCGTCGAATGAGGGGTCATATGATAAAATCCGACGCTCCGTTCAAAATTTATAGCCAAAATAAAATTTTCTTCTTCTTCCCAAAATGAAAATTTAATTCTGTTTGTCAGTTTGTCCACTTGTCCAAAATATGTTTTTTAAGTTCTGAAAATTTGATATGACGTTCATCACATCGATATAAAAAACTTTTGTTCTACCACTTTTGGAAAAACCCGCTAGTTTAGCGGGAAAACAGCTATAAATAGCTAAAATTCGGAAAGCCGTAACTTCTATACTACTAAAGCTACAGACATGTGCTGCATCTCGTTTGAAATGTATAATGTATTTAAATGCTATAAACGCCTTCTACATGCAATTTGTGTAACTGTAATAGTTAAAAAGATATAAACAAAAGAAAATTTGTTTAAACTTTTTTTTTTAGCTTTTTTTAAATTTTCTCAAAAACGGCTCTAACGATTTTCCTTACAACTTTAAACCGTATAGCCCTTGAGATTCCTTAAATTTTGGTATATATCATGTTTATGTAAAAAATCGCGTTTAAAAGTTATTCAGAAACGAAAATAGCCACTTTTGCCAGCTCAGAACAACTAACGCTTCCTGAGTGTTTAATTTTGTGCGTGGGTATCCAAACTGTATTTTAGGCTCATAGAATCATTTCAATTGTTTTAAGGAGTTCCAAATAGGAAACTTTTGATTTACGACTTTTGGAAAAACCGGCTGCTTTAGCGGAAAAAAAGCTAGAAATAGCTAAATTTCGTTAGTTTGTAAGTTCTACACTACTGAAGCTACAGACATGTGCTATACCTCGTTTAAAAGGTATTTTGAAATACTTAAACGCCTTTTTTAACTTAATTTGTTTTAATACAATGGTTTACAAATTATGATTGACCAATTTAAATTTAAATGTATATATTAGCTCCTATGAGAGCAAATGTAAACAAACAAAAACTTCTGATATCAAATAAAAACACCTCTTAACGAGGTAAAAAACTAGTGACGATCGCACCTTCAACATACAAAAGTTCTGATATCAACATTTGTGACGAAAAATTATTACACTCGTCATTAAATAGACTTTCTAATATTTTCTCATTCGGCACGCTGCAATAGAAAATGCCTATGAAGGCGAAAAGGCTAAAATAGTATGCTAGGGCGGGCCGAATGAGAAAATATTAGAAAGAGTATTTAATGACGAGTGTTGCGATAGATTATAAGAACTAGTTCGGCGGGACATTTCTAACACTAGGACGTATACTATCGATATTAAGGCCGATAGGGGAGATCGATATAATGTATGGGAAAGGTGACCACCATTAGATTCCTGGAAGTTAGCACATGTAAAGTTTTCACTCTTTTCTGATTTGGCACGGGAAGTAAGCGGACTAAAAGTAAGAATTGTGAACCTAAGTTAGAAACCCTAACCTAATATTGTAACCTACAGGAAATTTAAGTGCTCGCCAAATGCTCGATTTGAATTGCTTCGCATTGAAGTGCTTGCGCTAATAAATATTATTGGAAACTACGTAAGCTTCAGTATTCTTGGCGGCGCTGGAACTTTTCGAACTCCCGCAACATTCTTAAATTTCTTTTATGGTGAAATTTCCCCAGAGCGGTGCTCTGAGGCGTGCTACATACGTCATGGATCAATCTACCGAACCCAGCGGCGAGGAAAGCCATGCTTTTAAATGTTCCCTATGTCAAATAGCGAACGAGGATGTCACACTTGTCTGCAATGGCAGCGAATGTGAAAGCATGTGCCACCCAGGTTGCGCCGAGGAAAGGGTAGACGGAGTAGGTTGGATCTGCGCAGCGTGCGAGGCTGATGCCCACGAGCAGAATCACATGACGTTCAGATCAGGAAAGCTCGAGGAAACGGTTCCTTCAAAGGAATACAACACAACCCCACAAGGTGGAGACCCGGACGAGCAAGGAGCGGATGGAGCCCCTACATCGAAGAGGGAAGCACTGCACCTGCGCGAGGAGTTGACGTTGTTAGAAGAAGAGGACCACATTCTAAAACTGAGGCAGCAACTACTGCAGAGGCGAAGGGAGCTTCTGTCGAGGTCCGCAGCGGAGCGGGCTGACCTCAGTTGGACGGCAAATGTGCCGGAGGCATGCAGTACCCAAGCGTGCCAGAAACCCCAAGTGTCGAACAACACATTACTGGATGTACCAGGGTTCAACAGTAAGAAGTCATCTTACCCATGGATGTTGAGTACCGGCGGGGAGCGTGACACTGTAGTCATGTCGGGCCGACCAGCAGCCAGAATATCAGCAGAGCAGCTGGCTGCGCGGAAAACTAATGTTGCTGACTTGGTAAAGTTTTCCGGAAAGCCTGAGAACTGGCCCATGTTCCTGGCCACGTACGAACAGTCGACCGAGCTATGTGGGTTTTCCGACGCCGAGAACCTGATGCGGCTGCGCCACGCACTGGAGGGTCCAGCAAAGTTAGCGGTTCGGAGCTTAATGCTACACGCAGACTGCGTTCCGCAGATATTGTCCACATTGGAGATGCGTTTCGGAAGGCCGGAAATAATAATCGATTTGTTGCTTAAACAAATAAAACAATTTCCCTCGGTGAGGGAAAACAAGTTGGAGAACATAGTCGACTTTGCTATGGAGGTGCAAAACGTGTGCGCCACCATGAAGGCGTCCAAGTTGGAGCAGTACCTCAACAACCCTGCTCTAACGCAAGAATTGGTATCCAAACTGCCATGCATACTCCAGACCTTTTGGGGCATGCACAAGATGACTCTACGTGTGTGTACCCTGGCAGACTTTAGCGCATGGCTCTCGCAGATGGCGCAAGGAGCGAACAGCGTTATGGTTCCCAGTTCGCAAGGAAAGTCTGAGAGGCGAGGAGTGGTGAATACGCACGTGGTGCGTAAGGCATGCAAGGTGTGTCTAAAGAACTGTGGATCAGTTCAGGAGTGCAGAAAGTTCCTGGAGATGACAACTTCAGATCGTTGGAAGATGACCAGGCGATTAGGACTATGCTGGCGGTGCTTCTCAAATCACACAGTCCAGTCTTGCGGTATGGCTGGCACTTGCGGCTTAGAAGGGTGTCAGCAGAAGCACCACCCATTGCTAAATCGGGAGAGCCGTGAAGGTGTTCAGGCTAACTGTAATGCTCATCGTCAAGACGCAGCAGCTGCTGTGCTGTTTCGCGTCGTACCAGTGACGCTTTACTCCAATGGGAATCAAGTTAACACACACGCCTTTTTAGACGACGGATCTTCTCTCACCCTGATTGATGAACCCCTGTTGGCGGCCCTAGGAGTGAAGGGACAACGACAGCCTCTCTGTATGCAGTGGACCGCAGGGATGCATCGCTACGAAGACGAATCCGTTAGAGTGGATCTTCAAATCTCGGGTGCCGGCATGACCAAGGTATACAATTTGAGAGATGTTCACTCTGTCAAAGCACTTGATCTCCCGGCGCAAACGTTGGATGTCGACCATCTGAAGAACAAGTACAAGCACCTAAGACACTTACCACTAGGAGGCTACGCTGGAGCCCAACCGAGACTGCTGATCGGTCTTAACAACTGCGGTCTTGGACGCGCCCTCCGCACAAGGGAAGGCAGTCTGGAGGAACCCATCGCCGAGAAGACCCGACTAGGATGGACGGTTAAAGGCGGTGGAACAACGTCCTCTACGGATGCGGAAATCAGAAGATATCATGTATTCCAGATATGTGCTTGTGAGGAGGACAACAATAAAGAGATTCTGCGACTTCTCCGACAACACCTGTGGTCGGAACAGGAAGTGGGTTACGGAGCGGAGTGTAAATCCCAATCTGATGACGATCTTCTGGCCGTCCGGCAATTGGAGGCAAATACGATGCGCGTCGAAGGACGGTTTGAGACCAGCCTGCTGTGGAGGCATAAGGATAGTGATCTACCCGATAGTCTGCCCACCGCCCTCAAGCGAGCACATTGTCTTAATCAGAAGCTGTTGCGTCAACCAGACCTGGCTAGCGAGGTGCGACGACAACTAGACGAGTACGTACGGAAAGGATATGCAAGACCAATCTCACCAACAGAAGCAGTTGAAAGCCCTTACTGGTATCTGCCAATATTCCCCGTAGTCAACGTTAATAAGCCGGGAAAGCTTCGCATTGTGTGGGACGCAGCCGCAAGAAGCGAGGGTATTTCACTTAACTCTCTACTGCTGAAAGGGCCAGCTCAACTGGCGCCTCTGGTGCCCATACTACGCAGGTACCGAGAAAGGCGAGTGGCCATCGGCGGAGACATTGCGGAAATGTTTCACCAGGTGAGAATACGCGCAGAAGATCAAAGGTATCAACGCTTCATATTCATAGACCCGGAAACGCAAAAGCGGGAGAACTACGTTATGCAAGTAATGACCTTCGGGGCAAGTTGCTCCCCAAGCTGCGCGCAATTTGTGAAGAACCGAAATGCCAGTGAATTCGAGAAGCAGTATCCGAGAGCCGTGAAGTGCATTCTTGAGAATCACTATGTAGACGACATGCTGGATAGTGTTGACACAGAAGAAGAGGCAATTAACTTGGCCAGAACCGTGCACCATATACATTCTCAAGCGGGATTCCACATACGAAACTGGGTTTCCAACTCCCGAACAGTCCTGGAGGCACTAGGACAAGAGAAGGGTGCGATGGTACAACTGGATGAGAACGCTGACAAGGGTACAGAGAAGGTTCTTGGCATGTGGTGGGATACAAAGGAAGATATGATCAGGTATCGCGTATCGCCAAGATACAAGCAAGGGGAAGTGCTGCAAGGGAAACGCCGCCCCACCAAGCGGGAGTTTCTAAGCATGATGATGTCCATATACGACCCGCTTGGACTCATTTCATTCTTCGTGATGTACGCCAAAACCATGTTTCAAGAGATTTGGCGGTCTGGATGTCAGTGGGACGACCCTATACTGGAAGCAGAATGGATCAAATGGAAGCGATGGATTCATCACATTCCCAATATCGAGGAATTGTGCATCCCCAGGTGCTATATGCCTAAACAGCTGCGGGGGCACCAGGTGGAGATGCACACCTTTGTAGATGCCAGCGAAAGTGGATTCGCAGCCGTGTGTTATCTACGAATCAAATTTGGACCCGCTATCCACTGCTGCTTGCTGGGCAGCAAAGCAAAGGTAGCTCCGCTGAGGCTGGTATCTATCCCACGTCTGGAACTCATGGGCGCTACTCTTGGCGCCAGGCTGGCATATGAAGTGGAAAAGTCACTTGCCATGCAGATTTGCAAACGGATATTCTGGACCGATTCGAGAACAGTGCTGAGCTGGCTGCGCTCGGATCAGAGGAAGTACAAGCAATTTGTGGCGTTTCGGGTAAGCGAAATATTAGATACCACAAAGCAGGAGGACTGGCGCTGGGTTCCAACTTCCCAAAATGTAGCAGACGAAGCTACGAAGTGGACCCGGACACCCGACTTCAGCAGCGGAAGCCGATGGCTAAATGGGCCAAAATTCCTATGGCAGGAATCAGAAGGCTGGCCAACTGAATCAGCCCAAAAAACCGACGAAACTGATGCTGAACTAAAGGTGCAGTTTATTGGAGTATGCGCATGGAACGAAAGCATAAGTCATGCACAGCTTATCGACCCGTTGAGATTCTCTTCTTGGACCAGACTACTGCGGAGTATGGCGAAAGTGATCTGGAGCCTTCGACGCTGGAAATCAAAAGGGCTGACAGCCAAACAAGTTGAAGACTCGACTACCCAAGAGGATCTTTTAATGGCAGAAAGTATCCTATGGTCAGATGCGCAGGCCGAGCACTACCAGGACGAGCTGGCATTGCTGCGCATGGGTCGACCTCTGACGAGGAAAAGTTCCTTGTACAAATTGGGGCCGTACCTCGACGGTAACGGTGTGTTACGACTTCAAGAGCGCACGAAGATGGGAAGCGGTAAGGATAGAGTGGTCCTACCTAGCAGTAGTCCCATCACCCAGCTTATCATTGCGGAGCTACACGCAAAGCTTCTGCATGCCAACCACGAGACCCTGATCAACGAGCTCCGACAGAGTTTCTGGATCCCCAAGCTGAGGCCAACCGTTGCACGCTTACGTCGATCCTGTCAAATATGTAAGAATAGGCAGGCAGCACCCAGGCCACCTCGGATGGCAGATCTCCCATATCCAAGGCTGGCTGCATTCCATCGTCCGTTCAGTTACACAGGAGTGGATTATTTTGGACCTCTTCTGGTTACGGTTAGGCGAAGCTCGGAAAAAAGATACGGAGTGTTGTTCACTTGCCTCTCTACGAGAGCCATACACTTGGAGGTAGCGTATTCCCTAACAGCCGACTCTTGTATTCTAGCAGTGCGCAACTTCATAGCTCGGCGTGGCAGGCCCGTGGAACTGTGGAGCGACAACGGCACCAACTTCCAAGGGGCTAGTACCGAACTCCGGAGGGCACTGGACGTGCTGGACAAGGTTCAGCTGGAACGTGAGTTTACCGGCCCTGAGATGAAGTGGAAGTTCATCCCTCCTGCATCGCCCCACATGGGTGGGGCTTGGGAGCGCTTGGTGCGATCAGTGAAGGTGGCTCTGTACTCCATTCTATCAAGCGCACGACCCTCGGACGAGTTGCTTCGCGGGGCGCTAATGGAAGTAGAAATGATAGTGAACTCGGGAGTTCAAGTGGAAGTAAGCCGGCTACGGAACCTACTGTCGAAGGAATGCTGCTCAAAAGGAGCTGGATGGCATCGCAGCAGCTTGCGGATATGTTCTGGAAGCGGTGGCTATTGGAATACCTGCCGGTGATCACGAGACGTGGGAAATGGTGTCACGATAGCAAACCGCTAGAGGCAGGAGACATTGTTTACGTCTGCGACCCTGGCAACCCCAGATCCAGCTGGCCCAAAGGCCGTATCTTGAGCGTGAAGCTCAGCGCAGATGGACAAGTGAGGAGCGCTACAGTGAAGACGATCTCTGGAGTATACGTGAGACCAGCCACGAAGCTTGCAGTTCTATCTATCGAGTCTAATGGGGTAGAATCCAGTCGGAATATACCGGCGGGGAGTGTTGCGATAGATTATAAGAACTAGTTCGGCGGGACATTTCTAACACTAGGACGTATACTATCGATATTAAGGCCGATAGGGGAGATCGATATAATGTATGGGAAAGGTGACCACCATTAGATTCCTGGAAGTTAGCACATGTAAAGTTTTCACTCTTTTCTGATTTGGCACGGGAAGTAAGCGGACTAAAAGTAAGAATTGTGAACCTAAGTTAGAAACCCTAACCTAATATTGTAACCTACAGGAAATTTAAGTGCTCGCCAAATGCTCGATTTGAATTGCTTCGCATTGAAGTGCTTGCGCTAATAAATATTATTGGAAACTACGTAAGCTTCAGTATTCTTGGCGGCGCTGGAACTTTTCGAACTCCCGCAACAACGAGTGTAATACTTTTTCGTCACAAATGTTGATATCAGAACTTTTGTATGTTGAAGGTGCGATCGTCACTAGTTTTTTACCTCGTTAAGAGGTGTTTTTATTTGATTAAAGATACCGCAAATACCAGAGCTGATGGACTATAGCCGTAGTGGCAACTTATGCTTAGAAAAGCCAAATTTATCGAAATAAAATGGTGGCAGGCCTGGACAACGACCCATGTCACACTTTGTCGGCCTGTGTAATCAACGATAACAATTAAAATTCTTGAATAAAAAAAATTCGTCACAATACCCTACAAAAAGTTCGTCACGATACCCTACAAGGTAGACTTGGAACAAAAACGGTGTCACTCTCAAACGGTGCAAAAGAAAAAAACGCGAAGTACCAAAAACTGTTGATAAAGATCTCATGTATACGTGCATATATTTGCCTGATTTTATTTTCCACTCATCTTTGCTCTAGCACTGCTGAAACACAAGTAAATTGAACAGGTATGCTAGTTTGAGCACTACATTTTTAGCGAAAATTACCTCACGAACAAATTACGGGACTTCTTATTAATATTACTGTAAATACATTTTCGACACAATAGGGGGAGACGACTACATTTATTTGGAATTTTTGTCGTCACGTCATATATGAGATTCGTCGAGTTCGTCACATTACCCTACTCGTGAAATTACCCTACACTCCCTTAATGATTAAAAATTAAGTTTCAGTTTAAGACAATTTCTGAATGACAAAAAGTGAAAAGTCATTTTTTAATCTATTAAGAACTCACAATTATTTATTTATTATTATTTATTTATTTATTTAAAAACAATAATTTTAAAATTTGTTTATTTATTATTTTTCTGTATTATGTAATTTATTAAACATTTTTAAATATTTTTTTAATTAAAAATAAAAATTATTAAATAAAAATAAATTAAAAATTAATTAAAAAAGAAAATATTTAAAAGTGTTTAAAAAATTACAAAAAAATAATAAATAAAAAAATTTTAAAATTATACAAAATTATACAAATCTTCTGCGATGCCTTTTTTATAATTCCCAACTGGGTCTATCCCTTCATGAACCAAGCCCAAGTCAGATTCTGAGTCATTAAGGCTTATTTTCTTCCTTAAGTCTTTAATATACTTCCACACTAGCTGGAAGTCAAGTGCAACCCGCACCAAAAGTCTTCTTTTTATTGCAGGTTGTCGGAAGCAGACAAATCTTTACAGTTAAATTAAAATGTAAACAATCGACTGTTATCTATTGCAATGAGATCACTGTAAACTTCAGCTGCCAGCATTAACTTCTCACTCTCTCTCTCACTCTCTCTGTGTCGGTCACATAACTTTTGTTACTTTGGTATGTTGCTCGTTGATCGGAAGAGATCAACCCAAATATAACGATTAAATATACGAGTTATTATTGGAATAAATAAAGCTGCCAAAAAGCTGGCAGCGTCAACAATGGTGACCCCGAAGTGATTGTGGTTCTGGAGTTCGTTAAAAAGTTTAAATTGAAAATAATTTTGGAGCCAAAGCTTAAAGTGCTGTGCAATAAAGTTGATAACAGCCAGTGGATTTGCTAATAATTGGATCAAATTTGTTTGATCAAACGGAGTCTTAAAACGGTTTAACTGCAAGCACATACATACATACATACATAACTTTAAATTCCATTTTATCCGAATTTTTATTTACAATAAAATGAATAAAAAATGTCGAATCGGTTCCTGAGAAGATCGTTTTTCTGAAACGCAAAACTTTTGATCGACTTAAAGTCATCGGCATTGAACTAGCTCCTGACAAAGTTGGATCAATCAGTGTTATCGATTTGGATGTTCGCTTACACCTAATTAATCAAATTAAAACCACTTATAACCGTAATCAAGACTTACTAGAGTGTCTCGATTTTAGTCAAATTGGCCAACCGTTTCGAGATGAATTTGATGAAATGGCGTTACTTCTTGAGTTAAGCTTAAGAGGTCACATTCAACAACGGAAAGGTTGTGAGGAAGTCAAGTCGAAAAACTTCCTACAAATCTCGAGGCAGGAGAGCCCCTAGCAACAGCGAAGGCAGCGAGAATGTGGCAGAATCCAAGGGCATCCAGGTCCACCGGTGAATACTGGACTTTGGACCCAGCCAAAGCGGAGAGACCGCAAAATAACGGTGCCGCGCTGGACCTTGGACCCACGCCGCCGAAGGGCATTAAGGTCGAATGGTAAAGCCGTGGACTTTGAACCGGCGCAAAGAGGATGCATCGTGAATTAACGGGACATCTTGGACCTTGGACCCGATGCGTGCCGTGTGCAATGGGAACTAAAGGGACACACTTGGACATTGGACCCTAGCGAGCCGTGTGCAGCCTATAAAAGGACGGCGCAAGCGCAGCTCAAGGCAGTCAGTTGGAGTTCGCGCGACAGTCAGTGCAGTAAGCGCCGCAGTTCATGCAGCCAGGAGGAGATGCGACGCTGGCAGCCGGAGTACAGGACAGACAACCAAGATACGCGAGCGGAAGTACAACAAGTAAACCAGATATCAAAAATACAAGTGTGAGGATTCAATCGAGTGCGTGGCCGTGAGAGTACCGTGGAATCCCAGATCACGCTAGGCCAAGGCTAAGACTGCAACGGTGAGATCTGCAGGACACAGAGATTGGAGTGGAGACGAGTGTCCTTCATGACCCAAGTCCAAGTCAGATTCTGAGTCATTAAAACTTATTTTCTGTCTTAAGTCTTTAATATACTTCCACACTAGCTGGAAGTCAAGTGCAACCCGCACCTTTATAAGGTGTAGGATAAAATCACTTTTGGCAAGGTAATTGGACAACTACCCTTTTATACCCTTGCAGAGGGTATAATGATTTCAGTCAGAAGTTTGCAACGCAGTGAAGGAGACGTTTCCGACTCCATAATCTCTAAACCAATAGAATTCAAGGAATAAAATTTGGTCAGTAGCAAATTCCACCCAGAACGGATTGACCTGAAAATCTTGAAAAATCAAATTAATTCGGAAATAATTAGGCGCAGAGTGTGACAGAAAGATTAAAAAAAAAACGACCCCAAAGTGCCCCAAAAATCGATTTTTTTTTACCTTTTTTTGTTTTGCCATTTCTCTGTTATAAATGTTGTTAAAATGATTTAAAAATGTGATTTTCATAATCTTATGGCATACCAGCAAATAACTGCATTTAAATTTCTTGGAGATTCAGAAAATGAAAATACCACAGCCAACAGTTTTAAAACGAAACTACCACACTAATAATACGTTTAAAATTCGCGGTTAAAAAATCGATTATATCGCAAATCTTTTCTTTTGCGCCTTTTTCTTAAGTAAACGTTAAATTTAAAAGTACCGGTAGACCTTACAGAAATCCCATTTAGCTGAATTTTACAGTCAAAGTTTTTCTTAAAATTGCTTTTGTTTTTTAAAATGCGATCAGCAAACTATTTATTAGTTTTCAAATGTTGAGTTATCGACAAACTTTGGATTTGTAAAAACAAAAACAAACAATGATTTGCTCTGCTATGTACACACACACGCACAAAATAAATATATCAAAAAAATGCGTATTTTACACACACAGCCATTAGATACATATGTATATGCGTGTGTAGGAATTGAGATTCGCTCAAATTCAAATTCAAGATAATACTGATATCCTTTTGCTAACAGAATATTTCATTTACATTTCCACAACATACTTACATAAGACATTTTGTAACCGATTTTTGTGACAGTAGTCAATAGTCGACCTTGTTGCGCCCCTTATAAAGGTATATTCTCCTTCTTGGTCACTGATTGTCCTGCCGTTCATTTCCGTCAGTCCCAGTGATTCGCACATCTCAACAATTTTTGCGCCTTTGTTGTCTGAGATTTCGTCCTTAGATTTACAAATAGTGCTGCTGGTCCTGAGGTCAATATTTGTGGGTTCTGATGTGGCTTGTGCTTTTCCGATGCGAGCATTTATATCCTCCATTTATCAGTCCGAAATCGTACACCTTTTCAAAATCTGCTTGCCAGTTATTGCAGTTAATGTATACTGGAAGTATATGTAGTTTTTCGTCTTTCGTGTTTAGTTCCATGACTTCTGTGTTTTCCTTGCTCGTAAAAGTAATGTGTCCTTCGTTCACCAGCTGCTTTTGGATTCCGTATACACTTCCTCCGCTGGCCCGTCCACGGGCTGCTACTCTCACTGCTGGTATCCAATGCAGCACGTGATCAGGAAAGTAATTAGCAAAACTCGTTTCGTCGTTGGTCAGAAAAGTTTCAAATAGTAGAAAAATATCGAATTGTGTTACATAACACTAGTTTACAGCCGAAATGCTCCCCAGCAATTGATGGCAAATTCTGTTAGTTTTAGACCCC